AGGGTCCCTGGATAGTGCTGCTATCTTGCGGCAAGTTTTAGACTAAGTGCCGTTTTCGTCTACCCTGGATAGTGCTGCCCTCTTTTAGCGGTTTTTGGAACTAATATTTCATTATATACGTATATTGGATGGTGCTGCTCTCTTTTATTGGGTTTTAAAACTATTATTCAAACGCTTTGTTTGAAAATGCGTCTATCTTCATATAGTTATGAAAATTATTATTCAAAATTCGTTTAAACTTACAAATGATCACTAAAATTGTTGTTTTCGTCATGTTATATTGTTTAAATGTTTATTAATTTAATTCTTAACATGACGGGCCTCCACAACCTTTCATAATATATTAAATTTGAGTGTAATAAATTCTATAAAATGTTTTCTTTCTGAAGAATACTGTCTTAACTGTTATTTAGCCTTAGTAAGTGTCCGATTCTTTCATGTCTTAAGCAACATTATTTCATAATGTTTTTTTTTTTTCATTAGAAAATAGAATTTAGTTTAATTATTCATCACTGGTTTCTCATAAGTGCATATAGTGAGTGAAGTGAAGTTTTGAATGAATTTAGAGGTATCAACAGTGAACTGTGTTTATAAATACTGATATGTAATAGTTTTGTTATGTATTTTTAAATATATAGTAATCCATGATAGAAGAAAGCAAATAAATATATTTCTCTAAAGTGTATGGAGTGAGTGAAGTGGATTTTGAATACATCTAGTGACATCAACTGCGAACTGTATTTATATATGGAATGCGAAATTATATATATATATATGGAAACAATAATACAAATAAATGTATTTCTGTGAAGAGTTGTTTTTAGTTTACCCTATTCTTTCTTTATAATCAAACACAGATACTCATTTCTGTATGTATTATTAGCTACATATTTATATCTTCTGAATGTATATCTTATTCAAACAAAAACTGTTTTTTTTAAATGTTGAAGATAAGTTTCTCCCATTTTCTATCTATCAAATTATTCATGTCAATAAGAAATTATCGATTCTCAGTTTTCTCAATGTTGTTCTTTTAAATTTTGACACTGGCTTTCATTTAATATCTTTTGATTGTTGAAATCTTAACATTTTAAAAATATTTTCTGAAAATTATCTTGTGCTGATTGTTAATACTATAAAACAATTTGATTATAGTTGATTAACTGTGGTTTATTATATGGCACAAATTATCAGGATTCAATCATTATTTTATTGCGAAATACAACTCTCAATGCAAACTTTTGGGTGTTCTTCAAGGATAAAATTAAATCAGATGTAACTAATATTATTATTATTAGGAATTAACTAATATTTTTTATATAATGTATTAATCTTGTTTGCACATTGTCTTATACCTTGTTCTGTAAAAAGGGTGATTCCAAACAATACACTACTTAAAAAAAAAAAATTCAAGGGAAGTGATTTTTTGCCATTCTTAAATGGGAGAATCTTAAGTTATAATTCCCTATTTACAAATTGGTAGGTTGTTATGAAACTAAAATTTGATGAATTCATTCTTTTTACAGAACATCAATGATATAATTTCATGAAGTAAATATAGCATACTCAGTCAGTATTCTTAATTTATATTATTTAAATAACTAATTAAGGATTGTACCCTTGTTAACTGAGTAAATTATGGAGTAAAATTAAAAAGGAAAAGGAAAGGAATAGAGGGATTTGGCAAAGGGGATTCTTCAGGATTTAAAGAAGAAAAATAGAATAATTTTTTTTTTTAAATACATTTATTTGAAACAAAATAAGTCGAATCTTGCAATTACTGTACAGAAGCACTCAAGTGTGAGTATAAAAGCAATATAAATATATAGAAAATGGTTCCAATATTTGTTATAATGTAATAAAAAAATCTACACAGAATTAATAAATCTGACATTTCTATTGAATGATATTCATTACAAATATAATTTTATTTACCTTATATTATGATGAAATAATTTCAATCTTCATATAACTATGACATAACCTTGAAAAATCTAATGCAAATATTAATAACACACAAAATACATCTTTCAATAAAAGTATTATTAAGAGTAGAATATAAGATTTGCTAATTTTAAGTTTTGGGGAAGATAAGCCCTTTTCATTTCAACTCTAGTAGCAAACACCTTTAAATGTTTACCTGAAAATGGATTACTTCACTTATTCTACTGATATAATTACTTTTTGTTAAATATACATACTTATCACCTCACCATATTGATTCCACTTGATCTACTACTTATTAAAATATTTAAATTACAAGTATTAAATAATATGAATAATTGCGATAACAATAATTATATTATTAAAATAATGATCTAATGATTACAGGAATAATTAAAATAATGAATTAAAAAAATTAAGATGTTCTTGTCTAGCATTAAGAGTTCTTGTCCGGGCTTCAAATCATTGCTTTGATGATGAACCACGTGCTTGGGTTAAAACTTAGACAAAATAAATTAACACTTTTTTTTATTGCACATCCTGACCATTTTTTGTTTACAATTTCAAAAATCAACTATATATCCATCTCTAAAATACAAAAAATAAATAACATCAATAGTTTAATAGTTATAATGATTGCAAGAATTAAATGACAAGAATAATTATAATAATTAAATGTAATGAAAAATTAGAATTATATATTCATTATCTTCAAGTTCTTTAGCCATATTAGAAAGTATACAGTCTCATTCTGGTGTCGGAGGTGTGTTGCTTGTTTCTCGGAGTGGTGGTTCCAGGCCTCTCATTAAGTATATTGAGGTGAAGACTGCATGTCCCTAATTTGGAGTCTTGAAAATATTTTTTTTTTTATGTGGATTCAACTGATGACAATTTCCATGGCAGAATATCTTGTCTCCTTTGTGGTATATTTGTCTATGGTATCATTCCCATTTAAGCCATTTTGTTTTCCAAAGACATCTCCAATCAGCAGCGTAGTTTATCATTTCTAAGCTTTTTCTTCAAGAAGGTGGTAGAAATCAGCTAAATACCTAGGAAAAAAAAACATACATATGTATATATAATGTAATATCTCTTTCCTATATTTTACAAATAATAATATAACCTCGTGGAAGATCACTTTATACTGTTGGGATACTTCCAAAAGAAATGAGAGGTTGTTAAATAATAAATAAAATTATTAGAGTATTAATATATTAAATTGAAATTTATAATTATTTTATCTCAGGTGTGGGTTACTGACAATCAGATCAAAACACTCAGACAAACTAACATTATTTAGACTAAAATTAAACATTTATTTTTAAATAAAGTCAAGTATGGATTGCCAAGCTAACCTTTTTTTCTATATATCCTGTTTCTTTGTTTGTTGCACTAAATTCATTTGTCTTCTAACATTTTTCTATGTTCGGTGACATGAAGAACTTGGTGTATGATTGCATATTTTTTCATGCCTGGATATTTGCAGCTAGCATCTTAAATTTATAAATAAGTAAATAAAAATAAAATTAATCATTATAGCTCGTCCACAAGAATATTGCAGACCAAGAGCGAACTCACGTGACACTGAATTGAAACTAACATTCCTCTCCAAATACTCTTAAAGTTCAATTATAAAATTTATATTTAAGGTGAAACGAAAACAAGCATTTCAATTATAGTTCAATAATCGTTCATCAGGTCAATTAATATGTGGAAAGGGAACATTTTTTCTGTTTATATTCTTGTGAGAAAGCTATATTATCTCCATTTATTTCTTTTACAATGCAATATGAAAAAAATATATAAACAATTTAGTCCAAGTAAACTATTTATTTGATTTCGATTTCTTTTTTAAATATCTTTAAATTTTCAAGAATTAGTACATCTTAATGAAATTTTTTATCTTTTTTCTATTACTACTATTCAGCACTATGAACCACTTCTTAAGTCATAAACTACCAGTTTTCTATTTTGCCTTGAGAAAGCAATTTTTTTTTTTTTTTTTTTTTTGTCAACATTTTGAGTGATATATAAGTACTGGTTGGATTATTGTTTTGGATATACTTTATTTTGAGGTCTTGTGTAATGCAAAGCATCACAGATGTTTTGGAGAAAAAAAAAGTAAGTGTGGTTTCATGAGAACATCATTATCTGAATTTCTTCTTCCAAGCTGTTCTTTTGATTAATCTGGGATCCTGAATAAATGAAGGATTGTACATTTTTAAATCTATACTGCTGTATTACTTTCATCATCTTCACTGGTAATTAGTTACGGACTCCTCCAATGCCTGAAAAGCTTCCCTCGCAGTGTTTAGGGTCCTTCCTGGAAGATTCAAATCTAAAATCTGGACTTTTCAGCTGAGAAATGTTCTTGTTTCTTAAATACATGCATTTATATTGGTTTTGTGAGACAGAAGTTAAATACTAGAGAGGCCCGGTACCCGCCATACATCTGTTCCTGTTGTGACAAAGCATAGATTGTCCTCCATTATCATTGTTATATGATGAACCAATTTGGTTGGTAAATTCATTTTCATGATTGCCTTATATGCTTTTTCTCTGATCACAATGTCACATGTGGTGATTATGTATCTGTTATTCCTTTGGCTTTACCAACAGAATTTACAGAGTAAAACTATGACGTGTCATTGAACTCTCTCTTCAGATCCAGATTGATATTTCTTCAGCTTTCATTCAGCAATGGAAGCAATCTATTAAAAACAATGATTAACCATATTGATAATAGAAGGAGAAATATCTTTATAATTATTACACAAACTATATCTCCTTACTTGTGTATGAAACAAACCATTTTCTGCTGGTAACTCAAAATCTCCATAAATAATTCTTGAAGAAATTGTATCATTATGTATTATTCACTACTTCACTATGCTTCACCTGGAATGTTCTGCATTCTTGAGGCCACATTGTTATTTTATTTCTTAGTACATCACCTATTTTTTTTTTCTTTGTTTGTATACTCGATTAATATTGTGATTTTGAACATTTTTAATTAATTACCAAATTAATATTTTATTAAATCATTACCTGAACAAGAAGAAGATGTCAATTGAGCCTGAGATTCATCATTTGTTTCAGTACATACAAATGTAAACTGGTTTACAGTCAATGCAAACTGGGAAGTATAAAACTCCGGGCTTACATAGAAGTCTTATGCATCTGATTCTTTCACGTTGAAACACTGGACATTGCTTCTCATTGCTAGCTCTTCTCCCGTGGTTGGAAATTGGCATTAAATTGAGTTTAGTTCTACATACTATTACAGTCCTTGTGAAGTCTTCATTTTTGATCTGAAATGTTAAATATTTTTTATGAAATATGTTTACATGATTATTTTAATTGATTATAATATAGTATTGTAAAAACAAGCCTCGAGCTATGAAGGCTCAGCTCTAGAGCCTTTGGATCTCGAACCTCCAAGGCTTGAGCTGAAGGCTCAAAGGTTCAAGCCTTGAAGAATTTATCTTAAAAAAAATATTAAATTATTGTACATTTTCGTAAACAAATATATATTTTTTCTGTTGGTTGTAACAACATGAATATATTTCCAAAATAATATGTGAATAAATTATTTTTCTGTTGGTAGTAACAATGTGAATACATTTTTGAAATATAATGTAAATAAATAGATAGGGAAAAAGAAGTAAGATTCCAGCCGCAACTATAGCCTTTTAACGCCAAGCTTTAAAAACTTGAGCCTAGGTAGAGTTGAAAAAGCTGGAGCCTTTTCAGCTCAAGCCTTAAAAGGCATCAATTATATTGACGTCAATCAAACTGGTTGATATAAATTTTTTAAAATTTTTATTGAAGCTCCTTCAATATTATTGTAAGAGCTATATGGAGTAATATTAACCTTATTTATGAATCTTGAGAAGCTCTGGGCTAGACCAAATTTCCAGTGCTCCTCTTGGCAATATGTTTGAGTAGGTGGGTTTTACTTTGTTTTATTACTATTATTATTATTTATTTTTTTTTTTTTTTTTGAGTGGATGTTTAACAACCCCCTCAGAATTAAAAAAAAAATGAAAAAAAAAGAGGGAGGACTTCTAAGGATTTTGAAACATACAAGGGCCTTAGACAGGGTGACAGCCTTGCCGGTTTATTGTTTAATATGTTATTGGAATGTGCTGTTAGAAGCTCAGGAATACAGATTGGAGGCACCTTATTTAACAAATCGGCTCAAATCCTTAGCTTCACAGATGATTTAGACATAATGGGAAGTAGCTTGGCATCTATGATGGAGGAATTTCTCGCTATACAGGAAACGGCACAAAGAGTGGGTTTAACAATAAATGAGTCAAAAACTAAATATATATGACCAGTATGTGACCATTTTAGATCATACATTATCTTTGTATCGAAGGAGATGCTCTGCCCATTTCCATTTGCTTACTCTTGTCCGCCTAAGGGTATCTGTGGGTTCTGTTTCTTTTTTTTATCCAGTCATATCACACTCTGTCCTTTTTCCTCATATTCATAATAAGTCTTTTGTGCTCATTTTGCCACACCTGGATCTTCCTCTCTTGAGATTTTGTCAATGACTAAGCTTGGCATCCATAAGTAACTATTGATTGGACTTGCAACTATGCAACTGTCGAAGACCTATTCTTTCACATTTAACAGGGGTTAATAAATGAATAAAAAAATAAATGCAATATTTTACATAAATAATGTGAAAAAGTCTAAAACATTTGCAAAACTGTTAAAACTTATTATTGAACAGAAGTTGATTGGGGATTGGAATATATAAAAATAAATTATATTTATTATCTTTGTGCTCACATTTTGGCCTAAGTTTGAGACCTTCATCAGGGCTAAGCAAAGACCAGATAACAAATAAATACTGAGAAAATAGTAAGCAGTAATAATAATAATAATAATAATATGATCTGTTATTTCATAAGTATATAAGTTCCTAATCATTATTTTATATATTCTAACTTTGTTACTGTTATTTTATAAGACCCAGCTTTATTACAGCTACTTTATAACTTCCTTAATTTAGATATTGTATATTTCCCATTCCACATATTTATTAATTTAAGTTTAAATAACTACATGTTATTATTTAAATTAGTACACATTATTAAGGTTAAATACCAACATATATATATTATTAGTTAAAGTCAAGTTTAAATACTTACATAATATTTATTCATATGTTATTGAAAGTATTTTAACATATCTATATATTTGCTGTTTCATTTCTTAGTTACTCTTATTTTGTCAGTGTTTACTTTATTGCTTTGTTACCATTACTGCCTATATAATTTGTAAATGCCCTCAAATACCACAAATTTTCCATTCATTAATTATTAATATTATTGAATTATTGAAGAAAGTTATTCAACTGTTCTGACTATTTATCACCCATATTAATTTTATTTTTCACAATTATATATACTTGTTATCGAATATTTTCATGTGTTATCTCATAGTCCATTATCTTCTTGTATCACAATTTTAAAAATGTGCTACTTATCATAATATTTTCATATCTTGCTATTATGTATGGTACTCATATATTTTAATTTATCTTAAACACATAATTTTTGTTCTTAACATTTATTAATTCGTAGAAATGGTATATTTTTTTTATTTCTTGTTATTTGCTTGCTAATATGTTTTGTTTTGTTGCTATCTTATCTTTCGTCAGCACTGAAACTTGGGCAGAAAGGTAGACAAAGTTTTTTCACTGTAATTGCAATCCTCAACCATCAGTGAACTATTTCTCCACCATTATAATTTTATTATTTCATTACTAAATTGATTAATAATTATTATTATAAAATAGAGAAATATTCCTGGAATAGTGCATTTTTATTATTTTAAATGTAATAGCTATCTCAGAATAAAATTTACGTTTCATTTAAATTTCTTATTAATACATTTAATATTTAAAATATTTAATAGAACATTGATAAAGCATAAAAGAGAGCAATTATTTTGAATCTTAGTTGAAAATCTCATAAATGAGGCAGCTAAGAAATTTGTGATCGAGAGAGAAACCAATCTTCTTTACCATTTGCAGGAAAATCAAGCAACTTATCATTAGTACCTATGGATGAAACAACAATGCTGGGATACAAAGGTAGATTTACGGGAGGGAGGGGGAGGAGGCTTTCGGGCTAAAGCCCCCCAAAATGGTAAAATATACCCATGTTATATGAAAAAAAATATTAAAAATAATAACCAATATTTGAAAATGTGTTTTTATCTTTTTCAATATTCGCTTAAAATATTTTTTTTAAAGATACTCTTGTTTATGGCTTCAATGACGAGTGTAGTATTCAGTTTGGAGTACCCAGTTGGATTGGATCCATCCCTCTGTCCCAGATACCCTTTCTGTGGCGACTCTTCTGTGCAACATAACCATCTAAGAAGATATCAGCAAATGTGAATCCATCTATTTGTCTTACTATCTTTACTAAAACGAGGAGGTTGTAAAAGTACTAATACCAGTCCAAAAAGCAACTTAGGGGTTACCCCTAATTACCCAATAATTAGTCTAAAAGGAAGATGTTGCTCTAGATGTTATATACCTAGATTTATTATAGTAAGAATTAGAAACTGACGATGAAGCACATTAGTTTTAAGCCATGTATCCACAAGATCATTGGGATTGTGGTTCTGAAGAAGGGAGTAAATATCCCGAAATATAAACTTGAAACATGCAATTTTGATAATACAACAAATATATTCAATTATTGTTAATTGGAAGTAATCATTGCCAAATAACTAAGAATATCATACAACTACCCAGAAAAAAGAAGAATTAAATAAATAGTTCAACACTATTGGTGTTGGTATATCCGGTTGTGTTGGAGGTGGTATACTGTTGGTTTATTTTTATTAATAATTTGTGACCATAAGTCAAGGATAATATATTTTGTGTGAACACCACAATTTTATTTTTTTATATCTAAATAATACTACCCAATACTACTATTCCATCCAAGTATCTAATGTGAAATAAGTAAATTCATATGTACTATCTATAAATAAATGATTATATGATAAATTATAATTATATTGAAAACATGAAATTTAAAAAGTGTACTTATTTATTAAAGTGATCATATTACTATCAACCACATTTTTTTCGCCCTTTTTTTGGAAGGGGGTTTCCCGGACCAGGGGGTGTGGGCGAGGATTCAAAAGACGCCTTGGCACCGGGACGCGAACTCATGACTATTTTTGTATCATTTATATCATGTTGCCGGGCAACGGTGGTGCTGTGCACAACACGTTAGCCCATTCGGCCACCCCGCCCACTTATTATCAACCATCTGTCACAACTGAGATTATACTTTAACTATAAAAAGATAGAGATAACTTACCATTTAATACCATCTTATTCCAGTCTGCTGATGTTTCTCAAGGTAGTATCCTAGGTCCTATCCTTTATACAGTTTTTACAGCTGACATCCCAATCTATCCTAACACTGTTATTACCACGTATGCCGATGATTCATGTGTCCTATCCGGCAATAATGACGAAACAATTGCATCCCAAACTCTTTAATCACACATCACAAACCTTGAAGAATGGTGTCGAAACTGGAAGGTTAAAATGAATTCTAATAAATTCCATCAAATCACCTTTACCCTTCGTCGTAAACCTATGACCTCCTGTCCTACAGTATCATTTAATAATACCCCATTTATCCCTGTTGAACAAATCCGATACCTTGGACTCCACTTGGACAAACGTCTAACTTGGAACCCTCATACCAGACTGAAACGACAAGAAACCGCTCGACGTTTCCGACTACTTCAACACTTACTAGACAAACGCTCTAACCTTCCAATCAATTATAAAAGACTGATTTACATGACTATAATAAGATCTATTTGAACTCACGGAGTTGAGCTTTGGGACTCCACTAAGTCATCGAATTTCTCTCATATCCAATCCAAAATCCTTTGAAAAATCCTCAATGCTCCTTACTTTGTCACCAATAAAATAATCCATAACGACCTTAATGTTCCTTTTGTTTCCGATTTGGCCCAATCCAGATACCTATCCTTCCATAATAAACTTCAGAACCATCCGAATTCTCTCGTCTCTGGCCTTGCTTCCTCTTCTATTCCTGATAACCCTCCGAGATACCTGAAAAGAAGATGACCTCGACATCCCCTATTGTAAATACATTTTTTTTCAGAGTGCTACCAGTGGTAGTTCCTCAACAAGTGATTTCATGTTATTATTTTCTGTTATCAAATTCACTAAATGTATTTATGAATACAGTTGTAAATACCATAAATTAAAAAAACAAAAACAAATTCC